TTTTGCTCCGAAAGCGAGGTTGGCGACGCGCTGCGCTGCCATGCACGTGTGTGGCTCACGGGGTCCGCCAGGCTGCCGCGATCCCGAGCGGAAACGCCGTGGCAGCCAACATGGCTGCCTCGTGCATCGGACGCCGACCGGCTGCGCCGTTGCTTGTCATGCCCAAGCCCTGAAAGGCTGAGCTGTGAAAGGCGGGCGTTGTGCCAGTGTTTTAAGTACCTATCACCTATCAATAGGGTGTTTGGATCTACTCTGTTGGAGACAGAAATAAGCTCTATCACAACGTCAGCGGAGCGGCCAATGCGCGCGGCGATCTTGAGGGCACCAGCAGGAGCTGGCAAGGCCTCATCGCACGCTACCACACGTGCCGATCCGTGCTGAGATTTACCCGCACCCGGCGTTGACAACCTCAGCTTGTAACACTCATCACCAGTCGCACCAATCGGAACAGAAACCAGGAGCGGCCGCACACTGCTCGCTGGGGGGGGTCGGGACCCCCCCCCCCCAAGCAGTCGCAGCAGCGCTTCCGACGGATCGTTCGAAATTCAACGCGGCTCTCATCACCACGCGATTCATTCCGGAGGTCGCCAAGACAAAAAAAACGGCTTGCGAGTGCGACGACGCGCGAGTTCTCGGGACCATCACGCTCGAGGACGTGTTGACGGTGATCGCAGACGACCAGAGGTGGCCCAGCCTTGGTGCTCGCGATCGCCCTCGCCGCCCCTCACTTCGCCCCCGGGCCAAGCCTCCGGTGCCGTGTCTACCCCACAGCCCCCGATTTGGACGCCCGAGGCTCGGCTGTGTCCGGGTGTGCATGAAAAACGAGAAAACAGGTCTTTTTGGGAAAGCCGACTTCGCCGAAAGAATTCTTACCGGTAGTGCCGCCTCTCAATTGTGTTCGCGTGACCTGTGCATGCGTTGCGCCGTGTGGGTCTCCGTTGCGTTCACTTCGCTCGCCAGTGCTCTGTCCCGAGCACAGCCGAAGCCGTTCCGGGCGTCAGAGATCAAGGCTCGCCTTCGGCGCCTCGGAGTGTCGACGGAGGGCTGCTTTGAGAAGGAGGAGCTGTACCGCCTGCTGCTCGAGCGTGCGCCCGAGGCGTCCGGAGTCGGCCACTGCGTCCCTCTCGAGCTGCTTCAGGCTGCGAGAGGAGCGATGGGCGCAGGCGTCACCGTCGACTCCAAGCGCTACGTTGGCATCCGCTTGGCATCCGCTGACGACGCCTCCGTCGCCGACCCGCGGCTGCTGATGCTGCTCGACTCGGCCGCCTCAAACTCACTGCTTACCCCCGCAGCGGCGCGGCTGCTCGGCGCGCGCCCGACCGGCGTGCGAGCGACTGCCGACACGGGCACGGCGGTCGGCCTGGGAGGCTTCGAGCAGGTCGACCTCGGTGAGGTGGCGCTGCCGGGCGGGCTTGCGTGCGGCCGTCTCGCGCCGGTGGTGATGGATCTTCCCCTCGAGCGGCCGTCCGGCGGCGGCGAGTGCGGCCTGCTCGGCCTCGACTTCCTCTCGCGCTTCGAGGTCGAGCTCTGTCTGCGGCCCCTGCTCCCGACAGCCAGCTTCTACCCGCTCGGATCTGCGGCCGACGGCGCGGCGGAGAAGGGAAAGGGCTCAGCAGCGCTCCCAACGGACGGCCTCTCCTGCCTGCCGCTGGAGCGGCTCCAGTCCGGGCTCATCGCCACACGCGTCGAGCTCACCGCTCCGCCCGCCTCCCCCTCCTCGCCTCCGCCTCCGCCGGCGCGGGCGCTCGCCATCGTCGACCTGGGCTCCTCCACCACCGTCGCCAACCCCGCCGCCGCCAGCGCCGCCGGCTTCGACCTCAGCCGCGGCGACCCTCGCGTCGCGGCGACGGACCAGGTCCTGGCGGGCGCCACTGGCGTGCCGGTGCGCGTCTCGGAGGCGACCGCGACGCTCGGGCTCGGAGGGGCGCCGGCGGGCCTGTTTGGCAGCGCGGACGCGCCGTCGCGCGTGCGGCGCGAGACGACGCTCGCGATCGCCGACTTACCCGTCTTTGACGCCCTCGGCCTCGGGGACGCGCCCGCGATGGTGCTGGGACTCGACGTGATCGCACCGGGACTGGACGAGGGGGAGGGTAGCCGCGTCGTGCTCGCTGCGGGGGCGGGGAGGATGTGGGTGGATCGCGATCGGTAGCGACACAGCGACGAGTCGCACAGTCAGAGTGTGTCTCTCGTGTCTCGGTCGGACTAGATTGCGTGCGGCGACCGCACGCTCGAATCGCACGCTGAGGCGCTGGAAAATTCAAAATATTATTGTTCCCCCGATCCCCCCAATGTCGCAACTCGCATGTGCTCTGTGTGGGGCGTGCGAAAAGGTGCGAACAATCATCTCGCGATCTCGGCCCGCCCGCCCCCGGGCCTAGCCCGCCCCGGTCGCGTCGGCGTCGCGCCCCGACCCCCCCCCGTCGCGTGCGCTCGCGTCGGTCGCCACAGAGCTCAAATCAATCTGAATCTCACACTCGCTATCGCTTCCCCCTCCAGATTTCAGCAGCGCCTCATACACATACTACGGCCGCGTTGCCCGCGCCCACGCCTCGATTTTCTTGGGCAGCAGCT